TTCTTTTTAAGGTTGAAAAAGTTCTTTCAACGGAAGCGGTCGTCACTGGAAGAGTTGCTAAAATTGCAAGCAGGTAGTGAATATTTTTAAAATACGTTGCATCGCAATGTTGTATTAATTTCAACACTTCTATGGTTGGATCTTTTGTTGATAAGTTGGCACACCACAATCGATACTCTGATTTTAATGCTGTCATTGATATTTGCTCCTCGAAGTAAATAGCTAAATTTTTTAATTCTTCGGCATTATCAATTGCAGCAAAACCTGGGAGTAGAATTTGAAATGACGAGAGTATATCCTCATTCACTAATAAACGTTCTTTTGAATCAGAGCATCAACGCATTGAATAAATATTGTAACTCTGAAGTGGCTTTCAGGTTTTGTGCAAGGTGGATTAGCACGAGTAGTTTGACGCGAAGTCACTCTAGGCACTACAAGATCTGTGTCAAAAAGATCTTTAGACATTTGTGATGCTGTTTGGAAAATATCGTTGAAAAAACCATCCGCTGTTTCTCTTATCTGGTGCAGAGTTCTTATTAATTCTTTGGCTCGGTTCATTGCTTATACAAAATCCATAGATTTTTCTTGGAGTTGCACAGACAGTGGCAGCGTTAAGCTGAACAATTGCTCACAGACGAATAGACTAAGCAAAAAATCACTTTTCTCTACCATGTACCATGTCTTACTCGAAATTATTTCCAAACTTAGTACAACGAATTTGAAAAGTTTATAATGCTTTCATGCCTTTCTATAAACCTTGTTTCACAAAGGCGAACAAGTCGTCTTTTTTTGCTTTCTGGTGCGTGCTTCTGTATAACGTCCTGGAAAGTTGTGTTTGCATTTGAATGGTTTCTAAATAAATTTGCTATTTCATTGACAATACCAAGGCAGTTCCGCATTGAAGATAATGACATAGTATTTGTCGGGGTATGTCGACGTAAGGGGCCGATTGCGTTTAATTATAAGGTAGTTAGTTTTAGTTCAAACGTTATATAACTTTAATTTAATAAAAATTTGGGTATATACAATATATAATATATAATATATTTTTGTGTCTTTCCAATACTGATTAATAGTACTGAGTTCGTATAATCTAGTGTTAGAGTTCAGTATTAATATACACATATTGTTGTTATTTAAATATGTGCATTCCAACGTTGCGGGTGCTTGATGTTTAATTTTGGTGTATTCCTGGGTTGTATCCGTATTGTTTTGTGTAGTAATTAGAGATTGTACTTAACGTGTACTGTGTATGATAATTGTTCACTTTGTTGTTAAACACTTTTATTCTCCGTATTCACTTGTTTAGTTGAAAAGAAGTAATAAAGGTATTTTATCGTGGGATGGCGCACTTTCGCTTTCCGTATTCACTATGTTTCGCTGATATGTTGGCGGGATAATGATTGCCTTTTGTGTAAAAAGCGCGGGAAAAATCTTTTCTTTTGTTACTCCTTATGTTCTGTTGCGTGAAGTTGGGGCGGTTTATATTCCTCTGCATTACGCCTCTATTACTTTATGTAATTTGTGGGAGTTATGCAGAGGAGTATTTGTTTGGATTAAACACTCCGGCCACCTTGCAGAATCTGCGAAATAATTGAGTATTAATAGGGTAATTGATTGGGTATTGAAAGATTGAAATTTTTTGAATAAATATCAGCACTATACTTAGGGTTAGATGGTGCCAGTAAGGGTCCAGCCAAATGCTGTATTCTGGGCTACCACTGTACCATTATCTGGTTTGAAGAATCCACTTCTGATAATTTGTTTGTAGATATCGGCTCCAATCTCCAACGTTAGCTCTTTGTTGCTATGAAATTGAGGGTCAGCGAGGACTAAGCGTTCAAAGCGCATTCTCACATCGTCACTTAAATCTCGCTCATAGGGTCGTTTGGGTAAGTTGTGTGTGATAACTGCGTTACATTCCAAACAAAACTTTGTATCATTATTTGAGCTGATCTTTATGCTGCAAATACGATAAGTATTGAGGTATATAATTGGCAGTTTGAATTTTTTGACGAGTTCGGCCGCTATATTTGTAATTTTGAGGGTGGGGTTCAAAATGCAAGCGGTTGAAATTTTGGTTTCTCAACACCATTTACATTGTTGGTCGGGTGTAACCTCGGATGTCCGTGTAGGGATGAATGTTGCCCGTGACAAATGGAACATCTATTTTTGCTTGTACATCCTTCTGTCTTGTGCGACCTGGCTAAGCAATTAACGCAGTAGTGGTGTTTTATTACTGCTTCGTGTTTTTTGTTTATATTATATGCCGAGTACGTAGCGCAAGTCACTAGACGGTGGTCTTTTTTGCATATTCCGCAAGCGACATGACGATTTGACGTATTTTT